GGCTGTACATCCCCCTTAAGGTATTCAATGTATAACGAAGGGATTTTGACTGATTTCAAATAATTTTAAACTAGTTAAAAACACATTGTTAGATAACGATAAAAGTGAAATGAACCAAATTAACAAGACTGATAACATGTAAGGAGACAGTAATTTTGCACATCAAAAGTTTTTGAAGAGTTATCTCCCCACAAGTTTGGTTGATTGATCTCGCTAATTTTCACACAATAACTCATTATCAAGTCTGGTTGATTGATGTCGTCTATGGAAAACATTAGAAATGCAAGAAATACTACTGACCCTGAAATATTACATGCAACACTCAATGACTTCAAGACGCACTTATCAAAGCGAGGCTACTCTACTTCGGAAATTGATCCTACTATCAAAGAAACGATCAAAACAAATCAATCAAAACTCATCATCAAAAGCAGTCATTACGTAACCCTACAGTACTGGTTACTAAATTTAACCCTTGCATTAAAGGACTGAAAAAACGAATTCTTAAATATTGGAACACCATTCTTGGAAATCCAGAAAACAAAAATTTATTTAATTTTCTATCATAGCTTACAGCAAACACAAGAATATAGGTGACGAGATAATCCGGTCTCACCCAAAACAAACACCATTATTTATGTCCATGACCCCTGATAAGTCTACTTAATAGCCGAAACACTCTAAAACTACTTGCATATTTCAATTCAAATATTAATCTGCTCTTTGCAAAAACATATCTACATGAAGTGTGGTTTGGAGTGTCGGGTCCTAATAAATTTCTTACAAGTTCGGTTGATTCATGTCGCTAATTTTCACTGTTCTACTTCGTTGAAATTATAACAGTGCAAAGTTACATTTTACACTTTCTAACGCCAGGGTTATAATAAAAATTCCCTTTTTGGGTATTTTTGTCTTATACAACATTTTATATTACAGGAAAATCAACCTTAATTAAATATGAATAACCTAAAATTAAAAGAAATATTTGACAGCTTCCCTCTAAATGACCTCTGCTCAGAAGTAAGTAGCATTTTAGTTTATTTAAGTGAATCCCAACAATTTACATTTTTTTTGGGTTTTTTTTTTTGTTGTTGTAAATATAGAGAATTACAGTGAAATAAGGCTTCAATATCCTTTTACTTACTTAACCGTACAAAAATAAAACAATATATATTTTATATGTAATCGACAAAAATTAGGACATATATGGTGTTGCGACATGTCGAAATCACTTATGTCCTTAATTATTAAAATAATTACGACGTAAATTTTCTAATTACCAAGTAGTGCAAACAATCAATTTAATGACATGGTGATGATGCTAAAATCCAAATTTAATTAATTTATTTAAAAATCAATTATTTATAAAATCTTGTAAAATTACAATATTTGACAACAATATACAGTTATTGACTGGGTTCGAGGGCCACTTGAGTTTTGTCCAACCCAAGAACCAAATTTTGTGCAAACGCATTTTGCCCGAGAACACAGTCAGTCAGTCAATGTTTTGTTACACATTTTATTTTAATATCTCTTTAAGATAAAGTGTATTTTGTACTTTCTTCCATGATGTAACCTCAGATCCGTTACTGTTAAACCATCCAATACAAATGATACCAAGTTCCGCCCATCGTGTAACATAAGCAGTCATTACATCTCATCGAGCGGTACAGCATCTCACTAACCGGTCAGACGTCAATTTTTTTTATGCCCGCTCAGTAAAAAATTAAAAATGTTATTCTTTATTTGTATATATTTGAATAGGAACACAATTTTAAAAATATGACAATACTGTCCAGTCCATTAATAGAATGAAATATATGGAGATAACGAACACCCGCCGTGTGCCTGTTATCTATTAATACTCACTGTACTGACGCCCTTGTTATGAACGGAACGTGTTCAAGGTTGAGTTAAGAGTGATGCGTGTTACGGTAAGAATGTTGTTAATCTTGTATTGTATGTAACTTGAATTAAATGAAATATAATATCCGTTCATCGTTTATATAATAAAATACCGGTATCTTGTTTATTTCAATGTAGAGACCACATACGCAGTTTGAAATATCTCATGTATGAGGGACCGGGTGTGGCATCGTCATATTTTGGTGGTATGTGTTCAGTTGAATTTAAATTCATATACTGATAAATTCTTTTATTTTTGTATGTGTTCTATTGGTAATGTGTGTATATATTTTTTTGTTTGTAGCTCATCGCCAATTTAATGTTTAATTAAAAATAAAGAACTATAAAAAGAACTTGACTTAGTCGTTATAGTATTGTACACATAAGGTTACAAAAGTAATCTCTAACTCATAATACAAGGTTTCCATTTTCTTCGTGATAATGTAACTTAATTTGGTATGTTTAAGCGCAATAATATTGTATGAGCCAAGTACAGGTATAAGATTTTTTTTAATTGAGAAAGAAATGGACAGTACATGATACGTCCGAATCCTTAATGAACTAACATTTTATATGTAATTTCTCCTACTGATGACTTTTTAGGTTGATAAATTAGACAATAATCAACAGGAGAGACGTTAATGATTTAGCAAAGAAACATCACCAAAAAAAATATCACCAAATGAAAGAAAAAGTGAGCAAGCTCACATAACCCACGCTCTCCAAAGGTCTAAGTGCGGAAATTCCCGGAAAAAATAAAGGAATCGGAATTTCTTGGCAATATGCACATCAACACATTGTGTCCTAAATATCTGATGTATCTAAATATAAGATGTAGCCAAAAATCTAAGTTGAAAAGTGCGGTAATTTCCGGGAAAAAAGGAATAGGAATTTCCTAGTAATTTGCACATCTACACATTGTGACTTAAATATCTGCACAGTTTGACGAAATTGTGTTCAGTGGTTTATGAGAAGTTGCGCTGACAAACTATTCATCTTTATATTCAAGATTTTGCCAAAACACTAAGGTGAAAAGTGCAGAAATTCCTAGAAAAAATAACGGAATCGGAATTTCCTGGTAATTAGCACACCTACATATTGTGTCCTAAATATCTGTCCTAAATATCTGCAATAAGTTTGACGAAATTGTGTGCAGCAGTTTATTAGTAGTTGTGCTGACAACTTGCTCAACTTGTTGCGTGGGGTATAATAAAATATGTACGACCTGTGAATTGTCATCCATAATTTCTGAGCCTTTTATTATTGACAATCAATAGCGATTCGGCTTACAGCTGCAATTTGAGTGTTGTGTGGGAGCGGGGGGTTGTCTTAACAAGAGTTGCAGACATAGTTGTAGGAATTACACTATTTCCGATTTAAAGTCTGGTACATCATTAAGAGATAAAAATGATGCCAAAATATTTTTGTTTGAAAATGTTCTCAAATACGGTTATATAATATGTTTTTTTCTTACATTCATGTACATTTGTTTTAATTTTTCCGTACTCCTAGAGGTTATTGGAAGAAAAAGAAAACACGTGACATTGAAATAATGCCACGGTGTGGGTAAACTATTGCAATGATTATTGAAAATTGAATCCACGAATTTTATGGTTTATTTTGAGTGAATTGTTGATCAATTCATTTTTTAAGTCGTGCAGATATACGAAAATAATGACGTCGCACTAACAAAATATAACGTCCGTGATGAAAATATATTTCTGATGGAAAATTTAAAAAAAAACTTTAAAGATTTTTGGTAAGAAATTCATCGAGAACACATATTCATTTTTAAAAAAAAAAAACATCGATTCTTAATTTACTTTACATTTATTGTATCGAGTGATTTAAATTCGTCAGCTTCGTTTTAATGTAATGACTATGGTTTTGAAATGCGAATACCGACAGAAAAAGGGCATTGTACTACATATTTCTTTTTAAAAAAGCTGTACCTTTTTTTTATCAACATTAGCGCATCTAATTACAATTAAAACTTGACCACGTAGAAGAATCTAAAAAAATTCAGAAAGGAAAATTTTAAACGAGAGAAATTATCTAAAAAAAAAAAAAGTTAAGTCTATGTTTTCAGGCAGACAGTAAACTCGCGATCTACCTTAAGCTTCAGATGTTTCCTGACCCCAGTGCCAAGTCCATGCGGCAGTATTTAAGACCGCGGAACATTAACTGGCAAAATTGGAAATATACAGCTTACGTCATTTCTATCTAATACAATCAAAACATTCAGTGATAGACAATGAAATGGGCGGGTACAATTCGACGCGGACGTTTGGAAAACATGGGATTGAAATTGCAGATCGAAATTCATTTTCAATCCACCTCGGATACGCTAGAAGGCACATTGTTACTGATTGACCCAGAAGACAAATAATTTTGGTACAGTTTGAATTTTTTTTGTCCAGTGTTTTAAGAATAAATATTTAAGGGACAAATATTTCATTTTTGTTTGGTATTTATATGTATTTCTCTGTGTTGATGGTGGTGGTGGTGGTGGGGGGGGGGGGGGTGGTGGACGATTTTTAGATAAAGTTTTCCAACAGTTTTCAGTGAGAATAAGTATAAAACTCATGCACTCTTATAATACTAGAAAAAAATATATTGTCATGTTAAGCCATGACCTGACTCGACAATTTTTACCCCCCCCCTCTAGAATCAAATATCTCCTGAAAAACAATTGTCTTGTATGGTCTTTCGCGTTCTTAAAATTATGAGCTAAAACTCATATTAATGTGAACTTCAAACAATATGTATTTGGGAGTTGAAATATAGTTGATTAATCATTTTGGATCATACATTCACTCTTTGCTTTGAAAACAGCTCAGGTGGATTGAAAATGAATTTTGATCTGCAATTTCAATCCCATGTTTTCCAAACGTCCGCGTCGAATTGTACCCGCCCATTTCGTTGTCTATCACTGAATGTTTTGATTGTAACAGATAGAAATGACGTAGGCTGTATAATTCCAATTTTGCCAGTTAATGTTCCGCGGTCTTAATTGTAAATAATAACAAAAAATCAAATCGAATTTCCAGTTTATTTAAGTCAAGTATTTATGACTGTATCAATTAGATAATGTTATTTAGTGTCAGAAAAATATAAAAGCCGCTAAAACTATGATAAGCGTACACATTAACAGGCATTTCCGTTTTATATAAATCATTAATTTTGAATTAGGGTAGAAAGAGTAAATGAATTTCCTGATAGCATTGATAATTTAAAAAAATTATTCCTGTATCAGAAGAGTTCTACGGTATAATAAAAACGTCTATCATGGTATGTAGCATATGTGCCCTTGGCATTTTTCTTCCCCGAGCGTTTGGTAAAAACGTCTTAAATCTGAAATATAAATATAATCTAGAGAAACATTTCTACGACAAGAGGCCAATGGGCCACATCGCTCACCTGAGCATTGTAGCTTGGAAAAAGCAGAAATCATTTTATTATTCACAGTTTTAAATCCATAAGTGGTCCCAACCAATCCTTAAAGGGGGGAGAGTGTGATTTGAACAGACTTGAATCTACACTAACTAAGGGTGCTTGCATATATCTTTGCTTACCTGTGGCTTTATTACCATTTACATTTGAATTAACACTGTGGCCCAACCTTACCCTCAGGGGTCATGACTTGGAGAAACTTGAATCTACACTACCTAAGGATGCTTCCATACGAATATGACTTATCATGGCTTTACTATTCTTGAAAAGAAGATTTTTAAAGAAATTTTCTAAGCAAACCTATGCACCTTGATTCCATGTTGTGTTCCCGTCCTACCCCCAGGTGTCATGATTTGAACATACTTGTATCTAGATTACCTAAGGATACTTCCATATAAATATTACTTATCATGGCTTTGCTATTCTTGAGAAGATTTTTAAAGAATTTTTCTATGTAAAACTTTGATCAGCCATTATGGCCCTACCTTACCCCCGGGGGTCACGGTTTGTTTCATCTTTCTTGGTACATTTGTTCCTGGGAAGATTTTTAAAACATACCACGAAATTTTCCCTATTTCCGAATTATCTCCCCTTGAAAAAGTGTGTGGCTCTTCATTTGAACAAACTTGAATTCCCTTTACCCAAGAAAACTTTGTGCCAAGTTTGGTTAAAATTTTCCCAGTGGTTGTTAAGAAGAAGATGAAAATGTGAAAAGTTTACAACGACGACTACGACGACGACCACAACGAGGACAGACAACGGAAAAATTTTGATCAGAAAAGCTCACTTTAGCTTTCAGCTCAGGTGAGCGAAAAAATCGAAACCGCCAGTAAATACAGCATAACATAAGATTGAAGCATTTAGTGACGCATCGTGAAATCATGACGTACCTAGTGACGCCTGACCATCATCATAGTTTCTTTGACTTCTGTGCCCTTTTCAACTGGTGGATACCAAACCCAACTCCATTTGGATGAAGACCAGATGCCATTGAGGAAGGCGTAGTGACAGTGGTTATACCACCAGCCTCCTCCTCCTCCTCCTCCATACCAGTTAGCAGCACAGTGACCGGCATGTCTGTCGTTATCCACGTCCGGGGTGCTGAAGTACATCCCTGACACATCTCTGTACGAATCACCCGTGTCTAGCATCCTGTCACCTATAAAATGAACGGAAAATTGTTAGTAGTACATATCATGGCCGTAGGAACCGGGGACGTATGGAGGGTGGGTGTCCTGCATCTCATCCCATATCTGACGTTTGGAGTTCAGTGTTTGCTCTGCTCTTTTTTTGTATTGTTTAATGGACTTTTGAGCTTTGTCTGTTTATAGCTCCATATACTTCATCTTTCATAGACACTTGACAGTTTCATACAACATTGTATGGTTTTCAATCTGAATAAACAGCTACCTCATGGACATTTATTGTACTCTTTGTGATTGTCATATAAGTAAGATCTACAAACTTCGTGTGATGTACTATTTGGTTATAATGGTGTGCTCTTATGTAGGTGAAATGTGGCTTTACCTTTAAGAAGATTACAAGCCGAGAAAGTAATGGTATCACATGATAAAGATACTGAGAGATCGTTTACACAACATAGATTCCAAGAAAAAAATGGAATTCTAAATCCAACTTTAAAAAGTGCATTTTTATGTATGTGATTTACTCTGACGATAAAAGGAATTTACGCTGATATGATATATGAATTGGACTTGTTCTTATATATATATTATGTACTTTGATAAAAAATACAGGTTCGATGTACTCCGACAAAATATGGAGATTATTATTGTACGTACTCCGACACAATACAGGCGTGATTACTACGACACAATGCAGATGTGATGAACTACAATACGATATAGATGTCATGAACTACACATGATATAGATTTTATTTACTACGACACGATACAATTGTCATGTACTACGTTATTTACTACACAAGATACAGGTGATGATGTAGTTTCACATGCTTACAACAGATGTGATGTACTCCTACACAATATACACGTGATGCAACAGGATTTTTTCAGAGCTCTCTTTTAATATTAAAGCAGAACAATGCAATGAGAAAAAAATATAAATTATATAAATGTGTATATAACATGACTTTTTTTTGGAAATACAATATAAACACATTTATATAACTCAGCATTCTCTGTATATATTTGTTGCTCTTACTCTTTGACCCTTTCTCCTTTTTCTTAGCATGGTAGACACTCACAGTCACATACCTAAGGTTCCTGTGGCAGGTCCTCCCAAAAAGAATTGATATTTCCCTGTTTCATCGGAGATAGAGAATCGATCGTACGTTTCATACAGCGTCGTACCATTCTGGAGAGTGATGGACACATAAAGGGACGAGTTCTTTCTCTTTGTTAACAGATGGATTACGTCATTTCCTATATTAAAATATTACTAAAAAATCAACTGTAAAATATATTGCAAAGCAAGAATGTTATTTTGAATATGAATTTACCATCTCTAAAAATTAAGCTATTTACTTGGGCTATAGACAGTAATGCAAAATTTTGTCTCCTTTAAAGACTCTTACGCTGAGTGATTTAATCCTCTTGTACTCTTTTTTATGTAAGATTTCAATCAAACATGATCATAGAGTATTGTCTAATGCATATTACCCAATCTCAATTTAGATATTTGATACGCTTACATTTCCATTATATGCTGCAATAAAAACATTTTGTTAAATATGAACCGCTCAAAGAATGGGTGGACTTAACTGGCTAGAAAAATGTTCCATAAAATGTTAAATTTTTTCCAACATATTAACCCCCCATATCTTAACTGTATATTTTGGTACAGGCGTGAATTTAAAATGCTCTTTTTGAGGTAAACTAAATAAATATCGAAGATTTCTTGAATATCAATACTGACAATAGATAAGCAGGGTCACGCATTTTTCATCGTCTGAATACATAGTCAGCGCATGTTTGTCGGCTGTTCTTACGAAAACTGTAGCTGTATATTGAACAAAATAATGTCATATTAAACGGAGAAAAGCCGACAAATGTGCGCTCACTCTTAATTTAACAAAAAACATGTTCAAAACAAACTTCTCGCTTTCCATTGAAATGTCTTCGATTGACCTGATGAATATTACAATTCGTCACGTGATGTCTACCTACGAGTGTACTCTTGAAAACAGTTACATTGTATTCTTCAACTGACCTCGATCTAAATCATGTCTTTGAGCGTTTTTTGTAGCCGTTTTCAGAATTTAGCAAAATTAAATATTGTTTTAATTTTGCGTGTCATCACATTTTTAAAATAATTTCATATCGCTGTAATACAGTATGCTAAACACGTATTCGAATTTTTAGAAAGAGAGGGGGATAGAGAGAGAAATGACAACATCGACACCGATCGATAGCCCTGCCTCCTATAAATATTGACTGTGTGACATAAAAACCACTCCGGGTACATGTCGAATTCCGGAAGACGACACTCATGAATCGTTGTTCTAATTTGATACACGACAACGGGGCATTGTTTTTGCACAAATGTTCCACCTAATATAGCCAATTATATGTTGCTCTTTCCATTGCTCATGATTTATTTTGGATTCACTTTATTTACAGATTGTTAGAGGAGTCGCAAAAAGATCCAAAATAGGGCGTTAAGTCCCCCCATTCTTTCCCTCTTAAAAAGAGATTTATTCTTACCAATCCAGTAATCCTGTTCTGGGGCACCAAAACCATTCTTGTATTCCGTCCAGCTCCTATTGAAACTTACAGATCCGTCTACTCGTTTTTGAATCGCCTTAAAAATTATCAATTATAGCAATATACAATTCACTGTTCTGAACAATTGTATAATCCATGTGTTATGATATGAAACTCGTATTTTATTATCGTTTTATAGAATCGAAACACTTAATAGGAATTATATAACTCAAAGTAAATTTAACATTTGTACAAACCGCCCACCCTCCGCCCATTGTGGTCATATGACAGAACACGAGGACAGGAATGGTAATGGTCCCATATGGGTATATGTCGTACACCCCGGAATCATAGCGACCATCTGTATAAAGGTCCGTACAATCTAAGGGAATTACTGAAAAAGGGAAAATAAAATACTAGAATCTTTTAATTATTTGTAAATACAGGTATTGAGAAGAGGATACCTGTGAGACACATTAAGGATAAGTGTTGGAAATAAAATGTTGTTGGTAATCCGAACATCACTTGTATTTCTTACTTGTAGGAATGTTGAAGAGGAATTCATTTAAACAATAAAATTGCTTTCTTTAGTTGTTAGTACGGGAATGAATGTCGAAGCTTTTGCAGGAAAAAAGTAACTCGAGTGGGTTGTAACCAACAAACGACTAAGGGAGAAAAATAACAGTAATACGTACAGTCATGTGAGTAGTATCTCCAGCCAGTCTCATTAGACACTCCCGAAGTAAAAACCCTCTTGTGGATTCGACATTTCTGAATCTGAGGATTAAAGCCATAGAAGCTACACTTGCCTTGACACATCGTGGCACACTCGATCAAAGAATGAGAATCATATTCTCCTAAAATTTCGTTATTTGATTTCTTATCATTAAACTCTGGTTTCAAAGAATATTTATGAGAAAAAATTTTTGCTTCGGATAAAGCTATGAAGCCGACAATCAAAAAAATTTCATAAAGATTACTCATTTTTAAAGTTTAAGAAAGAAAACGACTGCTGCGGTCTTGTTAAATTTTGTGTTTTGCGAAATGGTTTTAAAACTGCCATATATATATGCATAAATATATATATCGGAATCGTAATAAATGCCTGAAAAGTGATTGGCTAACTGTTACGCACTCTTTAATTATTGTTGTTCAGTACCGATTTTATTAGAGTTAATATTTTGAAAAAAAAATTACTACAGCAATTTAAACTAGTGCTAATTGTAACGGGGACCGTTACAGATGTTCCCCAAACGCTCCCCAACTCCCTTTTGGTGCCATATTCCCTGTAAGCTTCATTAAATAAGACAAACTCGATGCATTTGAGACTTTAATAACGTTTACCCAGAAGTGTACAAAGTTCATTCAAATTTTGCGTGCGTATGTGAATGCATGTGCGTAATGACCATATCATCTATATATTTTTATATACTAAATATTAAAGCATTTAATCCAAAAGTAATAAAAAGATACCCTCATTCAAGTGTTCTTTTTTTTATTTTGCTCATTTCACGTGCACGCACGTGCATACATGAGCATGGTGACCATATCTTCCTGTAGATGTCCGTTACATCTATCAATGTTCTAAATCCCACCCTGTTTGGTTGAAAACCAAGGGAGTTATAGCTGTTTAAAGTTTCAGCCAATCAGAATGCAGCGCACGTACATGCACGTGTATGCATGTGCATGGTGACCACACCTTCTTGTAGTAGTCTAGTATATCTATCTATGTTCCAAATCCCATCCTGTTTGGTTGAAAATCAAGGGAGTTATAGCTATTTAAAGTTTAAGCCAATCAGATTGCAGCGCACGTGCATGCACGTGTTTTCATGATAATTGCTATATATCTTTTTGTAGGATATTCTAATGCATGGCTATTCTCAAAATTTCAAAGGATTTTGTCAAAAAATAAGAAAGATATTGAGACTTTAGTTTCAGCCAATCAGAGCAAAGCGCACGTGCATGCGCGTGAGATCTTGCTATTTTGACCATGTCATATTGTCTATGCTTCTAATATATCCTTATATTATAAGTTTCAAAGCATTTCATCAAAAATTTAAAAAGTTACGCCTATATCAATTAAATCGGTCATTTCACATGTTGCACGTGCACGCTCTTGCAAGCACGTGCGCGGAAAATGACCTTCGTTCCACAAATCTACATAACATGTCTACTGACCCTAAAAACATTTCACCTTAGTCGGATGTATAGTTTACGAGATCAATCCCGGACAAAAAAGTACCCAGGAAGAAGAAGAAGAAGAAAAATAATAATAACTAGATGCGTTCTTGTTGCTAAAGCAACAAGCGGTCTTCCGACCGACTTTTTGTTAGAGATCTATGCTGCGTCATCCCATGAAATAGATTTCAGAATGTATTTTTTTCCCCTTTACGTTCATTTACAGCAGTCTCTTAACATATATCATGATTATTACAGATAAACCTCAAAATATCTTTAAATATAGCTTTTAAAAATCGGCAAAATATTTCATACATGTTATAAAAGTGAGAAAAGTCATTTACTATTGAAAAAAAGAAACAAACAAAGAAAAAATTTTTCGAACCCCCGAAAGTGGGACAAAGTTTGGTTCGGTCATATCTTTTCAATAAATGCAGGCATCAAGATTCTGAACACATATTAAGAATTCTCATAAGACACACTATAAACCCTGTAAATCCTAAAGAAAAATATCAAAAAACAAAAAAGTTGAAAAATGGGACTTTTCGAATTCACTTCCGTTTGCGACCGGAAGTGCCGACGACGAAAAATAAAGATTGGAGTTCGATGTTCTATTACATCAGTGAGTTTCACTTTCATATCTTTAGAGAAAACTGCTGGACAAAATGCCTTTTTAAAAATACAAAAATCCCCAAAAAATCGCGAACAAAAGTGAATTTCGAAAAAATGAAAAACACCTCTGGAGATATTATCATGATGCATCATCCCTGTGAAAATCTTTCAAATCCATCCACGCACAGCTGAGATATTGCCCTAACTATGAAAAAAAGAAAAATAATAATAATAATAATAAAAAAAAACAGACGAATAACAATAAGGTCTTCCGAAGGAAGTGACCTTAACTAGATGCGTTCTTGTTGCTAGAGCAACAAGCGGTCTTCCGACCGACTTTTCGTAGAGACTAAGCTGCCTCATTCCATTTCAGAATTTTTTTTTGTTTACGTTCATTTACAGCAGTCTCTCAACATATAGCATGATTATTACAGGTAAACCTCAAAATATCTTCAAATATAGCTTTTAAAAATCGGCAAAATATTTTATACATGTTATAAAAGTGAGAAAGGGCATTTACAATTGAAAAATGACAGAAACAAAGAAAAAATTTGGGAACGCCCACGGCACCCCCGACAGTGGGACAAAGTTTGGTTCGGTCATATCTTTTCAATATATGCACGCATCAAGACACGGAACACATATTTAGAATTCCCATTAGACACACTATAAACCCTGAAAATAGAAAAATATCAAAAAACAAAAAAGTTATATGAATTCACTTCCGTTTGCGACCGGAAGTGCAGACGACGAAAAATAAAGGGCGTTGTTCAGATTGGAGTTTGATGTTCTATTACCTCAGTGAGTTTCACTTTCATATCTTCAGACGTTCTCGAGAAAACTGCTGGACAAATTGCCTTTAAAAAAAAACAAAAATCCCCCAAAATCGCGTACGAAAGTGAATTTCGACAAAATGAAAAACACGTCTGGAGATATTCTCATGATGCATCATCCCTGTAAAAATCTTTTCCCGTCCA